TATATATACACCAAAAAAATAAAGTAGAGAAACTAAAGTAAGTTTAAAAAGTACTATTTTCCCTATATGTGGCCTTAAATCTGTATTTTCCTTTTGAAAATGATTCTGTCCATTGAGTCTATTTTTAGGTAGACTCATAAACAGCTCCAGCAGTTTTCCAGCTGCTTCCACTGTAATCCCTGTAATTTGAGACGCATGTCCAGCATAGTGTTGTTGCTGCTACAGGAGGTGGTTTTGGATTTCACACAGTCTCTGTGAACTTTCACCTACATCTAGCAGCTGTTTTTTAGTGAGTTTCTGTCCCTGTAATTAATTCACTTTCAAGACGACTGTGATTAAGCAATATCTGACTGTAAGGGTTGAACAATTCCTTAAAAAGTTTACATTTAAAATCCCCAGAAGTCTAGTTTTTTCACAGTGTTCTACGTGGTTACACTTGTTAGCACCATTGCCTTGTAAAAAGAAGATAATATCTTCCCTAACGAAGCTTTCAGGTTGTTGCTGTGTGTGAGGAGGTTGTTGTTGGTATTTCGGCTAGCTCCCACAGCCATAAAATCTGCATGTCAGAGATATATTTCCCTTTGGATTAAATGTTTGTGTCAAATGTTGATCTTATAAAAATGGGAAAAGCCGGTGTAAAGTTAAATAAATTCCCCTGACTCTTTGAAGGTCCCACTTAACCTTACTCTGCTCCTTAGTCTGTATCATATTGTTAGGCTTAGCAATTTGTCTCTTTAGCTTCCCACAGGTTTCAATTCGGTCTCTGCTTTTTTTTTTTTCAGGTTTATTTTTCCCTTTAACTATTGAGTCGTTGGTTCTTGGGTTTGGCCCCCTGGCTCAGCATAGAAATGACTGAAAAGGGATTTTAATCTGACACCTGAAACCTCTAGCTAAAGTAAAAAAGGGTTAGATTAGATTCAACTTTATTGTCATTACACAGGTACAGGTACAAGGCAACGAAATGCAGTTTAGGTCTAACCAGAAGTACAATAGCAGCAAGTGCAGGATAAATAATGGTTCTATAAATAAAGGACATGGGTTTCTACTGAATGAGTA